TGCTTCAGTGATGCTATCTAACCATCTCATCCTCTGCCGTCCCCTTCTCCGTTTGCCTTCAGTCTTTCCCAGCATATCATTACTTACACCACACTATTAAGTAAGCCAAAGAATGATGGGGTTTTTTTGTTTAGTTTGCTTTTTAATAAAATCAAACATGAATGGAAAAAGTGGTTAAGAATTCCCCCCCCCTTTTTTTTTGTTATCCATTTGTATGACGTGGACCAAATTTAAATGTTGAAATATTCTATTACGTGTACAACCATCTTTCAAAAGGCAAGGAACTGTTATATATGTGGGTAACATGTCTTGACAATACTGAAGAAGAAAACCATCGGACCAAAAGTAATTATTATTCCAAATAAAAAATAGCATGAAGTATACTTGCATTCCTTCATACTCACTAATGCAGCTCATACACAATTTCCTATTTTCTATCAGAGGAAAAATACAGGTGAAAGATTCTATTAACGTACTACATATGCAATCATTAGCACTCCACCTGTCTTTAAGCAGCCCTCTTGGTAAAATCCGTACCGAATTGATTTAAGAAATATTTTCCCAACCTGGAGACCTGACCCAGAGAGGGTTAGCATCAAGCACATCCCGAGACCCCAAGTTTGGGCGACTACTTTAGAGCAGCCTGATCGTGCACCCCTTCCTTCTCCGCCTGCGCTTCAGCAAATCCATCCCCCTTCTCCCCCGCGCGCGCCACCAAGACAACGGGATCGTGAGCCATTCTGCAGGAACGCTGAAAACCTCGTGCGAGAGATCAAAGCGGACGCGTCCCGCGGGCTTCCACAGGCCGTGAGTTGCGGCTGGCGAATGAGAAAGGACGTGGCTTGGCGCCTGCGCAGTGAAGAAGGGCCTAGGCTTCGAAGACAAGCCTAACAGTCCTACTTGGCGTGCCGGCTTGAGGGAGGCGGAGGCTTGGTGGGTGGGTGTTTTTTTTTTCCCCGGCCTGGTCGAGTCGTGTTTTTGCCTCTTCGGACAAGGCTCCTCTCCGGAAAAGGTCTCCGAGGTAGGCGAGGCGGCTTTAGGTCGGGGGAGCTCCATCGTCCCGCTTCTCTCTCTGGGTGTCTGTCCTTCTCTGAGGACCGTTGGGGGCGGAAGGGGTGCCGATAAACTACTGGTCGATAGAATAAGCTAAAAAACTTCCCTTTCTTCCCCAACTCTGATCGGAAGAGAGCATCTGCCTGCCCTCTACTTCTTCCTAGTCGGTCGTGCTCTTCCCTTGACTGGCCTCCGGTCCTCAGTGCGTTGGACCACTCTCCCTATAATTCCCAGCCGGCTCACGTGGAATTATTGGAGCTGCAGTCCCACTCAGGGAGGAAAGAGAAGACATGCGATCTGGGTCTTCGCCTGCCCTTTGGCCAAGCACCGGGCTCGGTCCGTTGGGACTCTCGCTGAGGCTGAACTGAGCCGTTGGCGACCCCACGGGACAGTCTGGTTCCTATGGAAACCCAGAATCCGTCTGTCAAGAATATTGCGTCTATACTGGAATGATCTGATGGCAGTATATGAATCGGCTCAGAAGTAAGACCCCATTGCATTCAAGCGCTGCCACCTAAGTCTAGACCAGTCTTTTTCAAACTTGGCAACTTTAAGATGAGTGGGCCTCAACTTCCAGAATTGCTCAGCCAGAGTCTAGATAAAAGACTCTGGTCTAGATAGAATCAAAACTTTGGATTACCACGCCATAGGCCTCTGAGTAAATCATATCAAATAAAGTGAGGCCATCATCATTATTATTAGATTTTTATCCCGCCTTTATATGTATATGTATATATCTCAAGGGATTATTAGATTTTTATCCTGCGTGTGTGTGTGTATAAATGTATTATTATACTTTTATTCTGCCTTTAGATAGATGGATGGATAGATGGATAGATAGATAGATATCTCAAGGTGGCAAACATACTTCTGCCTCCTGTTTTCCCCACAACAGCACCCTCTCCATATTAAAAATAATAAATAAACTTCAGTTGAAGGTATAAATCCAAGATTAAAATAAGTTGTAGAAGATACTGGAGTGTGTAAACACATGTAAATCTTAGTCTCGCAATAAGCAACTTTGGGGTTAATGCTTGGTGAGTTTTTGGGGGGAAGATTTTCCAAATAAAAGATAACATGCTGGAAAGGCCCTGATCCCAGGACAAATATCACCTGCTTAGAGAGTAACTGCAGATAAAAAAAAGAGGTAGGCATTTACAAAGAGGTGTGGTGTTGTTGTTTTACATTTATTTCTGTGTAAATTGTATTAATATGCTTTCAGTTATAAAAGCAACCAGCCTATATTATAAATAAAAGTCATTTATTTAACGAGTTATATTGATTTTTTGAACACTCTGTATAACAAATAACTTCCAGAAGTTCTTCTGCATCCTTATCACAGGACCAAGATGAGTTTGTTCGGGTCAACATCAGGATTTGGAACTGGAGGCACCAGTATGTTTGGTAGCACTGCCACCGATAACCACAACCCAATGAAGGTATTAAGCCACTGGATGCCCTGAGAGAAACGAAATCACTTCACATACATATCTTGAAAATTATTAAGTTCAAAAGATAACAAGTTTGCCTATTGTGTGTATAATCCCTTTGGTTGAGTCCAAATATTATTGGCTTAAGTGAAGTATGCACAACCCTAATAGCTATATATGATTTAATCAACAGAGAGAAAGGAAGGGGGAAAAGAGTAGTATGTTAATAGTATAAAGTGTTATATTTAATAGGTACTTCTTTTTTGCTTACAAAACATCAATTTTGATATATGTATAGTATGTTCTTCATTTGAAGCATATCATTTTTGTTACAATTGATGAGATTGAAATGTAGATGATGTTTATTGGAGTAGACTACCATTTTATTAAGTTTTTTTTTTCCATTGTAGAAGTGTAGCTGTGACTCTGAACTTGACCTTTCTGATTGGATTTTCTTAATTTAAAGTGCATGGTGTGTGTTCCCCATTACAACACATTTTAACTTCAACTTTTTTCCAGGATATTGAAGTTACTTCCCCACCTGATGACAGCATAGGTTGTTTGGCTTTCAGCCCACCAACATTGTCGGGTAATTTCCTTATTGCAGGATCATGGGCAAATGATGTAAGTAACAAATGAAAATAGATAATGAGGCATACCATACATTCAGCTTTCCCTGCACTTGCTGAATGGAAAATGACTGCATCTTGCAGACAAAATGTGATATCCATAAGTGGGCAATGGTTAAGGTAACCACACGCTACCTGTATGAGATAAAATGAGTTTGTAGCAATGTATTAACAGTGAAGAAGTGCTGCAACTTCATAATTTGTTCTAAAGCTATCCCAGGATAGAACCTCTCACAGTATTAAAATGGAAATGAGTTAAATTCAAATTTCAGGACTGACTTACTAATTGGTTTCATCTCATCAAATTTCTGTTAACTTTACATTTTTCTGAACACGCACTAAAATAGAAGGAGACATTTTAGAATATCTAAGTCTGGAGCAAGTCACTATTATGATTATGAACACCTTTTTTCAGGTTTCTATCTATGAAACATTCTATCATGCTGTAACTTAGAAAGCTACTGAGAGAAGCATGGCCCAGTCGCTATATAAATTGATCTCCAAGGTCTTTATTAAAATACCAATAAGTTGAGCCTCTCAGTGGATAGCCTAACCCTATCACATTGTTGCTTTTTTTATAAAGCTAAATGTATTTCAGCATCAAAAAGACAAGGTAAAATACTTACATTCCAAATGCTATCTCATTCATATTTACAAATGTCTTTATTTCAGGTTCGTTGTTGGGAAATCCAAGATAATGGGCAGACTATTCCAAAAGCCCAACAGATGCATACAGGACCGGTGCTGGATGTTTGCTGGAGTGATGTACGTCCTGTTATTTCACAAGAAACATTCTTAAAGATCTATAATGGTTTTGGCAGGAGGAGAGTGAGATCAAAACCACTGTCTAAAACCTTAGAAATTTCTTTAGTGGAGGAGAGTATCCTGGAGAAGAGCAACCCCATTTCAGAAGTCTAACCACTAAAGAGCATGATATTCCCTTTTAAAATGTCTTTACCATCAGTAGGCACTAAGAATACAGGTTTTTTTGTTCTCTGTTTAATAGGATGGAAGTAAAGTGTTCACAGTGTCCTGTGATAAAACTGCCAAAATGTGGGATCTTAACAGTAATCAAGCAATACAAATTGCACAGGTACAGTTTTCAAACATACATTGTTTTCTCTGTAAGGGATTCATTAAAATTTAGTAATGAAGATGCAAGTAAATAATAAAAAATTAACACCAAAGATTTTGTTGGTATTAACTCTCAGCACAGTTTTTCTCACAAAATGTGAAAAAGAGGCTTGTTAGAAACAATTCAAATTTGATTTTTCACTTAATTCTTAATTTCTGTAAAGAAATTATCTTTTCTTGCAGAGTACAGAATACTCAAATGGATTGGTTATGTATACTAATCAGTTGGCCTAATTTAATTTTAATTTCTAAGAAAATATGGCAACCTCTGTCAATATTTTAGAGTAAGTTCAAATGCTTATATTTTAAATAATGGAGCTGTTTGGGAATTGCACATACAGGAATCACACATACATTCTTGTCCCTAAGAACTCTTCTTTTTCTTCTTCTTTTTTGTCCTTAAGTGGGATAAAAAAGTGATTATGTATTATTGATTGGAATGTAACATACACTGTTCAGGTTGTTCCTCCTCTATGAAGGGAGGTTGTTTCCAGATCTTTGAAAATTATGGACTGACTTAAATATATACACTGATCTTGGTGCTTATGGAGTGTGATCTGCGGATTTGAATTAAAACTTAGTGTGTTTTTAATGAGGCCAAAATGTAACGAGTCTATATTAAACTGGAGAGCATAGGAAAAATGTAAGAGCCTTAGCAAAGTCATTGCAAAGGCAAGGCTGGGCCAATGTTTTTTACAGAAAAATGAAATCTGTAATTGCATGAATGGGAAATGATTCCAGAAATCTTTTAAATATATTCTTCAGCATGAAGCTCCTGTAAAGACCGTCCATTGGATTAAAGCACCAAATTATAGTTGTGTGATGACTGGAAGTTGGGATAAAACATTAAAGGTAAGCCTTGTACGTTTTTTTTTTAAATAACATTTAAAAATGTTTTCTGCAATTCTGTGTAATATTTATTATGGAAAAATGATTAACTGTTAGGATATAGTAGAGTAAGGCATAATGCATTCCTGTAAATGTGAGGCTTACTTCCAAATGCATGGACTTGAGGGTGAAATCTGTAATCGTTGATTCAAATATCAGTTTATTTAGGGAAGCCTCTATTTCATAATATCCACTTATATCCCTTCTCAGTTAGGGCCAGTACATCTCTGAGGATTATAAAAGATGTATGTGAAATGCTCCAAGCTTTTACAATTAGGAGCAGTTGTTTTTTGTTTATTACATTTGTAACACTATATTTTAGCAATACTTTTAAAAATACAGCAGTTTGCAAAATCAAACTACAAGGAACAACAAAAAGAGAAAATTGGAACAATACAGATGAATCCAGTGGTGATGAGCTTCCAAGCTAATAGGCCATAGTCTATCTGGTATCCTGACTTAAATACAAATTTTAGAAATAAAAAAAAAAGATGAATGCTCCACAGAATTATCTATATAGATAAAAATGTACATTTTCAGAAACTGGACCGTGCTTAAAGTATCTCAGAAGGTAGTCAATAGTGAGAGTTCCACCAACCAGAGTCTTGCCCAAGTATATCTAATTTCAGTATATACAGGGCTTGGCAGTCTTTTGAACTGATAATAATTTCTTCAGTTTAGGAGGTGGGAACTGAGCCCAAACATGACTTATTCAACCATTGACTCATTTGTATCTTCTGTCTCCCACATTCATTACAGTAGTATAATTTCTTAATCAATTTTTGTAAAGTTTTGGAGGCATTTCAAAGTTCTGTTATGAAATGATCATTCTGCTACTGCGTAGGAGAATTTATTGAGGTCTTATTGAACTTTTTATTTAGTTTTGGGATACACGAACCCCCACTCCAATGATGACACTGCAGTTGCCTGAGCGATGTTATTGTGCTGATGTGGTAAGGAAACAAATTTCAGAGGTCTTCAGACCTTGATTAGTTAGAATCACGCTATACTTGACTGTTAGTCTTTTCTTTGTATCATGGTAATTAATGGTGTTTGTGTTATATGTTATGATGATAAAACCGATTTATAGTTAGTGCAGGGAGAAAGGGTGTGAATGAATTATGTGTTAAATACTTTTATATTTGTATGTGAATAACATTCTTTTTATATTTGTATGTGAAATAAAACATTCTTTTTACTACATAACTATATAAAATTAATATTGAAAGTTCTTAGTCTGTACTCTTGTATAATTTCCCTTGTTTCAGGTATATCCCATGGCTGTTGTTGCTACTGCAGAAAGGGGCTTGATAGTTTATCAGTTAGAAAATCAGCCTTCTGAATTTAGAAGGATAGACTCTCCACTTAAACATCAGGTAACTTGAGTTTTCTTGATTTCCAGAATATGACTTATTTTTAATTGTAATGCTAGCATTGGTTTCTTAATCCTAATGGGATACAGGTAGTCCTCGCTTAACAACTGTTCGCAGTTACAGTGGCACTAAAAAAAGCAACTTACAACTCGTGCCCAAAGTTATGACCATTGCAGCGCCCCTGTGGTCACATGATTGTGATCCAGGTGCTTGACAACCAGCTCACACTTGACAGTTGCAGCGACCCGGGGTCACATGATTGCCATTTGCAACCTTCCCAGCTGACTTCCAGCAAGCAAAATCAATGGGGAATCATGATTCGCTTAATGACCACCACAAAAAGGTCGTAAAATCGGGCCTGGTCATGTGATGATTTGCTTAATGACCACATCACTTAGTGACCTAAATTCAGGTCCCAATTGTCATTAAACAAGGACTACCTTTAAATGTAAAGTTGTAACTGCAGTATATGAAAGTATCTGATTAATGGCTCCACTTCAACTTGAAGGGAAGTATTTAGTACAGTGCCATAGTGCTCTGTCCTGGCCCTTGCTATTCAACATTTTTATCAATGACTGAGAGACCAGCATACTTATAAAGTATGCAAATGACACAAAGCTAGGAGTGATAGCTAATACTTTAGAAGAAGAAGAGAGAAAATTCAAAAAGATTTAGACAGGCTTAAGCAGTGGGCTGAAATGAATTGGATGAAATATAATAGAGAGCAACATAACATTGTTATCTGGATAAGAAAGATTCAAGACACAAATATGGGATGAGGGAGATTTGGCTTGGTAACAGTATGTATGAAAGGAGCCTGGGTGTCCTTATTGACCACAAGTGAAACAGCATAGAGTCCAGACAACAGAAGGTAATTGTTCTACTCTATTCTGTCCTGGTCAGACCCCAATTAGAGTACTCCATTCAGTTCTGGGCACTGCAGTTCAAAAAGGACAGTGACAAATTGGAGCAAGTTCAGAGAGTCTGGAAATCAAACTCTGTGAGGAGCAGTTAAAGGATTTTTGTGTTTCACCTACAGAAAAAGAGAACTAAGGGGACATACGATAGTAGTCTTCAAATATCTGAAGGGTTGTTACACAAAAGGGGGAATGAACTTATTCTCTGTTGTCCTGGAAGGCAGAACCAGAACCAGTGGGTTGGACTATTAGGAAGGAGGCTGTGGCTGTACATCAGTGGAAACTTCCTGATCATGCAAGCTGTTAGAACAGGGCCCTGCATATTTTTTCTTTTGTTAGAGGTCTTCAGACAGAGTCTGAATAGTCTTGTGGATTCTGCCCTGAGCAGGGGTTGGACTAGATGACCTGTAAGACTCTTTCCAACTCTATGATTGTATAATCTGTTGGATCCTGTTAAACATACATAGATAATTTTAGAGGAAGAATGAAGAAATTTAATATTTTGAATCTAAAATATTTTTATAAGAGCACTAAAACAGTTTAGTTCAATCAATCAGTTTATTACAGTCATAGATCAGTACAACTAAAAATGCACATAACATGTCTAATTAAAAATCTTAGATA